CCATGCACCAGATGATCATGAAACAACAGTGGGCAACGCACAGAAGTTTGTGGGCTTCATTCTTTTGAACAACCACTGCGAAGATGTCATAATCCACAACTGTCAGTAATTAGTTGATGAGTTTATTTGCCTATCATCCCCTTTCATTTTAGGAGTGTTTATGAAGGCTGTGTTATATACACAGACTGTGTTTTTCCTACTGAGTGATGGCACCAATCTAAATCAATAATAAAATTCTGAGCTTTGTATTTCATAGTTAATTTGGGTATGGGTTTTGTGAATGAGGCACCAGGATAGTCTGATATTGCTATTTGACCTCTTTTCTTGATTTTTTTATGTTTGTTCCTAGATAGTTCAGATCCATTGTCTTCTACTTTCCAAGTCTAAGTATTTTCCCTAATGATCTCTCTCACCTTTTCTTTAGTATCTACTATCCTTTCTCAGTTTGAATCGGAGGTTCCTTTCTGTTTAAAAGGGGGAAAGGGTATGTCCCAAATCTCTACCTTCCTACTCAGAGTTTTCAGTGTGAGACAGATGTTTTCCAAACCTGAAGCTTTAATAAATATCTGATTTCTCAACATGGTCTTGCTCTGATCGCTCTTTCAGTCCACCCTCTTCCTGTTCATCTCCCTAACCACATGTAGAAATACATTGTTTGTCAGCATTAGTCAGCAACACATTTCCTACAAAGTTAAAATCTGTGCCCTGGAATTTGACTCATAAGACCCCCTATGACATGGACACTTGCTTTCTGGATAACTACAGTCAAAACCATAGTAAGCTATTGTCAACTGCTTAATGCCTTCATGGCTTGAATAATCTCTAACTCATTCTTTATCCTAGCCTAACATTTTCATGCTTCATTTCCTTAGATCTTGGTTTATTGTTGGAGAACTTTATCAAACACCAATTCCTTCAGGAAGGAGTCTCCTTACCTGTTGTTCATTGATGTTAATAGTTTATAGTCCTTGTAGCACAATGCTTGAACTTTATTACATAACACTGACTTAATTTTGTATTCTACATTCCTTACAGGGAGACAAAAACTATGCTAGGAGTATTAGTACGTTACCATTCTCCTTTGATTCACCATAAATTATAAGCGTCAAGGGACTTCATCTAACTTATATTTAACACTAGGGGCCAATCCATATCTATAGAATGAATGGCATCTTACTGAAATAAAGCTTAAGTCATCGGGGGATACATTTTATAATATTGATGGGATGTTTTTGTCCCAGATGATATACCATGCATAGGATTTGGACAAAATTGTAATGAATGAAAAAGAATTAGTGTAAGGACCTTAAGTGGTTAAAGTGTACTGTGTATGTGAGTGAAATTGACATTTTATGTATTTGTTTAGTTACAATCACTTATTACAATTCATTCAATTTGTATCCTGGCTGTAGTAGCCCCTCCCTTATCTCCTCCCAATCCCACCTCCCTTTCTCTTCTCCCCCTACACTCCTCCCCTAGTCCCCTGATGGGGGGGTCCTCCTTTCCTTCTATCTGACCCTAGCCTATCAGGTCTCATCAGGACTGGTTCCATTGTCTTCCTCTGTGGCCTGGGAAGTCTGTACACCCTCCCAGGGGGCGATGATCAGAGAGCTTGCCACTGAGTTCATGCCGGAAACAGCTAGGCACCCACTTGGAGACTGAGTCTGTGGGCTACATCTGAGCCAGGGTTTTAGGACCTCTCCATGCATGGTCTTTAGTTGGGGTATGATTCTTTTCATGGTCCTCAGGGCTCAGGTTTTTTTTGCCTCTGTTGGTCTCCTTTTGGAACTCCTGTCCCCTTCAGGTCTTTCTATCTCCCCCTTCTTTCATAAAATTTCATGCATTCTGCTCAAAGTTTGGCTATAAGTCTCAACCTCTGCTTTGATACCTCAATAGTAGAGTCTTTCAGAGATCCTCTGTGGTAGGCTACTGTCCTGTTCTCTGTCTTCTCCTGCTTCCAATGTCTCTCACATTTGCCCTTCTGAATGAGGACTGAGCATCTTCCCTGGGGTCTCCTTTGTTTGTTTAGCTTCTCTAGGAGTATAGATTTTAGTATGTTTATCCTATATTATATGTCTAATAAACATTTGGGGAGAGTATGTACCATGTCTGTCTTTCTGCTTCTGGGTTACATCACTCAAGATAGTCTTCTAGTTCCCACCATTTGCCTGCAAGTTTCATTATTTCCTTGTTTTTATTTGCTGAGTAGTATTCCATTGTGTAAATGTACCACAATTTCTGTATTTATTCCTCTGTTGAGGGACATCTACGTTGTTTCCAGCTTCTGGGTATTATGAATAGAGCTGCTAAAAACATGGCTGAGCAAATGTCCTTGTTGTATAGTTGAGTGTATTTTGGATATATGCCTAGGAGTGGTATAGCTGGATCTTGAGGTAGCTCTATTCCCAATTTTCTGAGAAAACACCAGATTGCTTTCCAAAGTGGTTCTACAAGTTTACATTCCCACCAGCAATGGAGGAGGGCTCCCATTTCTCCACATCCTCTCCAGCATGTGTTGTCACTTGAGTTTTTGATCTTAGCCATTTTGATGGTTGTAAGGTGAAATCTCAGGTTCTTCTTTAATTTGCATTTTCCTGATGACTGTGGATGTTGAGCATTTCTTTAAGTGTTTCTCGTCATTTGATATTTCTCTATTGAGAATTCTCTGTTTAGATCTGTGTCCCATTTTTTAATTGGATTACTTGGTTTGTTGATGTTTAGCTTCTTGAGTTGTTTATGTATTCTGGATATTAGTCCTCTGTCAGATATACTGTTGGTGATGATCCTTTCCCAATCTGTAGGCTGTCATTTTGGTCTGACAACAGAGTCCCTTGATTCCCTCTCTTCCTCTTCCTTTCCTATTCCTCTCCCCTAGTCCACTCATAGAAGAAGTCCTCCTCCCCTATTGTCTGACCTTATTCTATCAGGTCCCATCAGGACTTTCTAGATCCTCTTCCTCTGTGGGCTGACTAGGTCTCCCCATCAGGGAGAAGTGATCAAGGAGCAGGCAATTGAGTTCCTGTCTCTTGGGACTGTCTCTTCTCCCCTTGCCAAGGGACCCACATGGAGACTGATTTGTCTATGTGCTACATCTGAGCAGGAGGTCTATGTCCTCTCTGTGCATGGTCTTTGGTTGATGCATTAGTTTCTGCGATATCCCCTGCCCAGACCCAGCTTTTTTGGCTTTCCTTTGTGTTTTTATGGTTTCATTAAGATATTTATTTATATTATCTTTAAGATCCTTGGAGATTTCAATACTTGTTATTTTGAATACCTGGCCTTGTGCTTCTGCTATATTGCGTTTCTCATGGCTTATTACATTAAGATTATTATTTTCTGGTGAAAACATTGTTTTTGGTGTTCATGTTTGTGATTTAGTGCTAAGGTCTAAGCATCCAGAGTTATGATGTTGAGGTGCTTCTTAGTGTTGACATTTTGTCTTTTTTGTTTGTTTTTTAAGTGTTCTGGTTTTTTATTTCTAGTGTCCTTTCTCGATCCTAGGAAATCACAGTGAATTACCCAGTAGAGACAGCTTTTTCTTTGGTGGGTAGCAGAAATAAATAGAGATTGGTTAAGAGGAAAAGCTCAGAGAGGCGGTGGGAAAGAGATAGAGGGATCTGTTCTGAACCAAGAAGTTGAGTTCTCAGGGTACTGAAGTGCGATAGTGGGAGGGGTTCCATTGTGCAGGCTGCAGTAGGAAAAAAATATCAGTCTAGATGTAATCCAGACATAGATGAAAAGTCTAGTGGTACCCTGGGTTTTCACAAAGAAGGGGATCTCAGTGAATGGAGATGTGGTATGAGGAGGACTTCCAACAAGAGTCTTGCTATAGTACCAAGAGTTAATATGGGCAGAGGATAATGAATAACAAAAAATGTAGTTAGAATCTCCTATCTGAGTCCCTATACATTGGGTCACTAGGGGTCCCTGCTTGACAGTTTCCCTGGGGATCAGCAGTTGACACAAGAAATGGATATGAGTTAGAAAGAAAGGCTGTGAAGTTGATAGGTAAGTGAGGAAATTTTTCTTAATTGCAATATAGATTTTTTTTTTCTTAACCAAATCTTCATTTGCTTGACAGGGTTACTGTGAAATGTATAAAAAGACCATGCATGCTATCCATAAATTTTAAAAAAGAAGTAATTGAAGGCTCATCTGCTTTGAACTTTGAATATAGAAATGAAAGCAAATATATTGCTCTAAAAGGTTTCATAGTTGGGTGGAGGAGTTAACAATTACTTTTTGCAAATCTTTGCTCCCAGGGAAAACATATGGTTCAGTTGTGTGTATCTCTGTGCTCACTAAAACTGCTGCACCTGTACAGTGCCTGGTGAGAACTTCTCATAAAGTAGACAATATGGTGAGAAGTAGCAGCAAGCTCTGTGTCCTTCAGAATCTACACTTGTCCTTTGTGGAGGCCTTAACACAAGTAAGGCTTAACTTCACTTTAATGATATCATCATGACATGAAAGAAGGAATCAAAAATCTAGTGAGTTATTAACTGGAAAGACATTTGCACAATCTCCTGACCTGATTAGATAAGAACACATTGATGAAGGGAAAGACTTGTGTTGTACAATATTTCTTGAATTTTTGGGTGATATGTTAAAAGGAAAAGAGAAGTCCAATTAGTCCAGTTCACAGGGATCCTGAGAAAATTTCAATGATATGGAATGCACAGTAATGTTAAGAACAGCGAAGACAAGAGGGAAAATGGATTAAGGATCAGGGTCAGGTAAAACAACCTAGAGCCTTAGATTCTCTAAAGAGCAAGAGGGAAGCAGGAAGCATCGACTAACAGGATGGACTGAAACTTTGGGGGATGGGGACAAGAATAAAGCATTGCAGATCTCCTTGGATCCAAAGTTCACCGCATCCATACATTTCCTTGCCTGGTACCATTTGTCTACTTTCTCTCTTCCTGTGTACAGCAAGCATGTAGCACTTGTGTCTGTTAGAATACACTGACAAACTTGACTAAGATTAGAGGTCTTCTTGCTCAGTGTTGTATGTTGTGGGAAACCTGGCATCTAATAGTAACTTTCTCCAAGGCAGCCTTCACATCCTTGTTTCTTAGGCTGTAGATGATAGGGTTCAGCATGGGAATAACCACGGTGTAGAAGACAGACACAATTTTGTCTTCTTCTAGGGATTTTCTTGAACCACTTCGTATATACATGAAGATGAGGGTCCCAAATAAAAGAGACACAGCAGTGAGGTGAGAGACACATGTTGAAAAAGTCTTGGCTCTTCCACCTGAAGACTTTATCCTCATGACAGCCTTGATGATGAACAGGTAGGAAATGAGTATGACCAAGGCATTGGCCAAAATTACAAAGTTCCCGAAGAATACAATGATAATTTCAGCATTCCTTGTGTCACTACAAGCTAGCTTTAACAAGGGTGGGAGGTCGCAAAAAAAGAAATTGATCTGATTATTTTCACAGAAGGAGAGGGAAAACGTACATGTGGTTCTCAGGATGGCCCCAGACACTCCACAGACATAGGCTGTTACTACCAAACTCCAGCATCTTCTAGGACTCATGGCTACAGTGTAGAGCAGTGGGTTGCTAATGGCAATGTAGCGATCATAGGCCATCACTGCCAAAAGGAAACACTCTGTACCTGCACAGATGGTGAAGAAGAAAAACTGGGCAGCACAGTGACCATATGAGATGACTGTATTGCCTGTGACCAGTGTGGCCAGGATCTGAGGTGTGATGACAGAGGAGTAGCAGGCATCCAACACAGAGAGATGGCTCAGGAAGAAGTACATAGGGGTGTGGAGTTGGACATCTACCTGGATGAGAATGGCCATGCCCAAGTTCCCCAGGACGGTGACAAGATAGAAGCTGAGAAACACTAGGAAGAGGGGAATCTCCCAATTTGGGTGGTCATTAAAGCCAACTAGAATGAATTCCTCTACTGTTGTGATGTTATTCTTGGCCATGGATTCAATATTGACAGTCTGTTCATCATAAGTGAAGAGTGAATTTTAAAGAAACCACAACTGAAGTATAGCCTCTTTCTTTGTGATGAAAGTTAAGCTTGTAACCCGTTGTTATTTATAGAGTTTATTTTGAGGTCTTGAATCTTAATTTCATACATCAGAGTTTTGTTTTAAAACTTCTGTTTCTGAATAATTCTGGTGTAAATTTGGAAATTTCTGTAAAGATAAGGGGCACATGCATCTCAGGTTTGGAAGGTACAAAGTTGTCCATTCCTCTATTTCAATGCTCTCACACCTGCTAGGAAGGTATCTGGTTCATATATGAACTCCCATCCACCAAAATTCAACATATTAATTCTCATTTTGAACCTGGATCGTGTTGCCTTTTAGAATTTGCTCACTAACCTTAGTTTTAGCCTTTACATACCTGTATCACTTTAATTATCTTTCCCCCAAAGAATCTCTGTAGTATGGAACTGAAGAGCTTGCTCTTCATGTTGACTAATCTCTTACAGTTCACATTCATATATTTTCATTATTATTTGACTCTTCACCAAGACTATTCAGATAGCACTAAAAACTGAAAGTTTTTTTTTATTGTACCTCAGTCTTTATCACTTCAGGTCAAAGGACATTTTATTTAATATATTACACTTGATTTTTTTTTTACACTACTTGTTAACACTATAATTACAAGTACGTTCAAACTTGTAGTTATCTTACCTTTTTATTTCAGGGCTTTTGGCCAAGTCATATAACTCCTTCGTGCCTCAATTTCATTTGGTGGCGACCTACTTAGCTTATAAAATAGCTGGTTTTATTATGGCATATATGACATATATGCACGTATATGTCCTAGCATCTTTTTCTTATTTTTATTTTCCCCCTACTCTTATCTCCAACATGCTTTTCTGTAACCTTTGTTTTTTCAAATAAACTCCTTCCATGCTTTCATGGCAGGAGTGTGCATACACACACACACACATCCCAATTATTTATGTTAAAAAATTTAATATATGTCCTTTGTCATATTACCCTTTTATGTTCCTTATATCTCCTCCTCCTTGGTTTCTTCTTCATACTGTCGACTCATATTATCTATGTATCTATCTATCATCTAAATATATATACTTACTTATTTATGCTTAAGGTATTTTGAATATTGTTTTCTTCCTGGAAAGAGAGAGAAGCAGTTTCCAGCACATAAAAAGAACTAAAAATGGTGGACAATTTCTCAGTATTATTATTATCAACTTTATCTAGCATAATATATTCATTTCTATTTACATACCTATTTGTTTTCCCTCTGTACACATGCACATATCATTATGTGAATAATTGACAAAGAAATCTGTGCTCTCTCTAAATATAATATGGAAATCCTCACCACTTCTTCTCTTTTATGACCTATTAAAAACTTCATTCATGGAGGTCTACCACAAGCTCTCTTTATTGCCTCTTCCTGGGTGTCAGATTTTCCTTCAGTTCCAGAGATGGTAGCCATTGGAGAATAACAATAGAGTGCCATATATGGCAGCCACTGGGGACTAGCAGTAGCAGTGAAGTCTGTCCATGACCTCCACACACCAAACCCTGGGTGCCAGCCCAGCTCTGCCTGCAGTCCCAGGGACAGCGACCACTGAAGACTGTCGGCAGAGATGAGATCTGCCCCAAGCTCTCCAAGTGCTGGTTTCTGGGCACAAGTTATTTGGGAAATCTCAGAGATAGTGAGCGTTGGTGAGGCCTGTTGTGTGACCTTTACATATCAGTTCTCTGGTCCCAGTTCTGCCTGCAATCTCAGAGGCAGCAGACATCAGTGACTACCCAAGGTGAGAGCCATCAGGGACTATCAGGGATCTCTAAGTCTGCCAATACCAGTACCAGGGACAACCAGATGGCTAGAGGACATAATAAGACCATGCTTAACAAAACTCAGGACACTCTGGCATCACCAGAACCCAACTATTTTACTACAACAAGCCTTGGATATTCTAACACACCTGAACTGGAGTAAAATAACCTTAAATATAGTCTTATGAAGATGGTAGAGGCCTCTAGACAGGAAATGAATAAATCTTTCAAAGAAAATACAATAAAAAGGTGAAGAAAATGAGTAAATACTATAAAGAAATACAGGAAAATACAAGCAAACAAGAGAATGAAATGGATAAAACTGTTCAATACCCAAAAAGGGAAATGGAAATAAAAGAAAACACAATCTGAGGCAATCCTAGGAATGGAAAACCTAGGAAAGAGATTATGAAATACAGACACAAGAAACACCAACAGACTACAATAGATAATCTTAGGCATAGAAGATAAAATAGAAGAAATTGATACATTGGTCAAAAAATGCTGAATCTAAAAAGTTTCTAACACAGAATATCCAGGAAATTTGCGACACTATAAAATGGCCAAGCCTAAGAATAATAGGAATAGAAGAGAAGATTCTCAATTCCAAGGCCCAGAAAATATATTCAACAAAATCATAGAAGAAAATTTCCCTCATTTAGAGAAAGAGATGCCTATAAATGTACAAAAAGCCTAAAGAACATCAAAAAGACTGGACCAAAAAAGAAAATCCTTCCGCCACATAATAATAAATACACTAAATGTTCAGAGCAAAGAAAAAATGTTAAAAGCTTCAAGGGTCTCCATGATATCCATCTAGGCCCTTCTAGCTTTCATAATCTCTGTTGAGAAGTCAGGTGTGATTCTGATGGGTTTGCCATTATATGTTACTTGGCTTTTTCTTCTTGCAGCTTTTAGAATTTTTCTTTGATCTGTATATTTAATGTTTGGATTATTATTAAATAATAATTATTGGCTGGAGAATTTTTTTCTTTTCTGGTCTTATCTATTAGGTTTCTATAGGTCTCTTGTATACTTACAGGCATCTCTTTAAATTGGGGAAATTTTCTTTTGAGATTTTGTTGAAAATATTTTCTGGGCCTTGGAGACTGAATCTTTTTTTTCCCCTCTATTCCTATTATGCTTAAGTTTCATCTTTTCATTTCATCCTTGATTTCTTGAAGGTTTGTAACAGGAAATTTTTAGATTTAACATTTTCTTTGATGGATGCCACAATTTCTTCCATTGAATCTTCTACACCTAAGATTCTTTCTTTCCTCTCTTGTATTCTGTTGGGGATGCATATCTCTGTCGTTCCTGTTTTCTTCCCTAAGTCCATCTCCAGGATTTCTTCAGTTTGTTTTCTTTAATGTTTTAATTTCCATCTTCAGATCTTGAACTGTTTATTTTCTTCACCTGTTTGTATTTCCCTGCCTTTAACTTAATTTCTTCACCTGTTTGTTTGAACTTTCCTCAATTTCTTTCATTTTGTTCAGTGATTTAATTTTTTTATCTCTAAAGGCCACAACCTGTTTGACTGTATCTTCCTGTATTTCTTAAGGGAATGGGGATGGGGGGAAGAAGGAGGGAGGATAGAACTGGGAGGAGATAAGAGATAGGGCTACAATCACGGTATAAAATGAGTAAATTGTAAAAATAAATAGCAAAAAGAAGTCCTATTTTTGACTGCCCCACTGAAATGACTGTCATTTTCAGGGTAGATATTATTAATAATTAACGTATATGTATGTATAAATATATATTTGTTTTGTTTTATTTTGTTTTGTTTTGAAACAGGATCTCTCTATGTAATTCTGGCTGTCCTGGAACTCACTGCATAGATCAGGACAGCCTGGAGCTCACAGTAATCTACTTGTTTCTGCCTCCCAAGTGCTAGGTTTTAAGGGTGTGTGCCACCATGACCAGCCTTGTTTTTTTTTTTTTTTCTTTTTTTCTCTTTGTTTTTAAGTATTATCTTTGTTATTCTGCAGAATCTTAACCAGAGGATTAAACTGAAAGTAAAATAATCAACTTGGGGATCAAAAGCAAAAACATTAAGAGCTGCTTCTGATGTACTGAAAGGCACACTCTGCTCCATAAATATGCATAAGCAATATGCATCAAATAAAATAAATGTATATTTAAAGTTGAAAAAAAACTGCAAGGGATAAAGGCCAAGTAACATATACAGGCAGGCCAATTAGAATTGTGCCATACTTCTAAATAAAAACTTTAAAATCCAGAAGGACCTGGACAAATATTTTACAGACCCTAAGAGATCACAGATGCCAGCCCAGAGTACTATACCCAGCAAGACTTTCAATCACCGTAGATGGATAAAACAAGATATTCCATGACAAAACCGAATTTAAACAATATCTATCCACTAACCCTGTCATACAAAGGATACTAGAAAGAAAACTCTAACATAACAAAGGTAGCTGCATCCGAGAGAATACAGGGAATAAATAATTTCACGCCAGCAAAAACAGAAGAAGGCAAGCACACACAAACTCACGCTACCAACACCAATATCAAAATTATAGGAATCAACAATCACTGTTCATTAAATATTTAAATTTCTGTGTGTTGAGTCATGGAAGTTTTTACATTCCTAAAATTTCTTGTTGCCATATGGCCCAGATCTTACTTATATCATCATATCATCTATTCATTGCTGATTTTTTCTTAGTCTATCCAGGATTGTCATAAAAGTGTCTTAAATTCATGTGGTGACACGAAGCTTAAAAAAATTTCAAACACTGACTTTGCATTTCTTGAAAGACATTGCTATCATTCACCTTCTACCTGCAATATTTTAGAGATTCTTGACAACAATTTTACTGGACAGGTACATAGTCTTAGATTTGAATGAAAAAAAATAAGAACATATATATTGAAATATCTGTTGCCCTCACTCATTAAATAGCCTGGGTCCACATGGAAGACCTCTGCTTCCTCTACCCTGTGCTGCATCATTTGAACAGTTTGATCAGCCTCCTGATTCCACACCAACAGCTTCAGGTTGGAACTTCCTAACTTGCAGCCCTTCAATATATAACCAAGTCAGTAATTATCCAAACTAGATCATTAAGAAATTGTTTTCCATTAGCATAACCAGGAATTTTATTTGCTGTGACATAAGACTT